CACATGATGATGTGATACCAGTTTTAATATTCTCTTCCCAGAGTATATGATGGGACCAAGGTGATGATGTACATGGTTTTAATAATACTTTTGCCTTGATTTACAATATGTTCTCATTTGTTTGATCAGTACAGTTTTGAAGCTTTTGTGCTTCTCTTTGCATAGTCCACTTTGGACTGGATGAAATATTTCAGGATTGCACTTTTAACTTGAAATGTTCTCACTTGGTTTCAAAACATAACAAATGCCATAATCTGTTGATTGGGGACCAACACATCAAAGCTATTTTGCATTGCTGTTGCCGGCCACTATTGCTCTGTAGACCTATAAATATATATATACTATATAACAGTGGCGAGCCCGAGCCGTGACTTTTATACCTAGGCCCTCTGACCCCCCGGCGGGGTCGTGCAGCTGATCCTTTGCCACTCCAGTTTATCATTGTAACTCAATCTTGAAAATGACTCGGTGAATAATTTCGCAACGATGTCATCACTATCACTGACATGAGCCATCATGGACGAACTTATGCTAATTAGCTACTTCCGCCTAGCTTGACCCGTTGTTATAACACATCATGGCTGTATAATAAGAAGTGGATACAGCGTGGGAGGCGGGGTCTCGTTCTTTCCTATGAGAGCTGCTCATTGGCTCATGAGGACAAAATGGCCCAACCTTTGAGAGAGCGAAACGTCACAGATTACCCAGCATGCCTGGCTGTCAGAGCAGAAGAACCCGTATGTGCGCTCACAGAGCATGCGCCCCTTAAGCCCGGCCCCCCGAGCTCCCACTCTCGGCTCAGTAGAATGAATGGAGAGAGAAAATAAATCTAGATTCGGCTTTTAGTGCATTTTACAACTTTAAGGACCGAATGATTCTAATAAGGGCTATCACAGAGTGCATTCTGGGTAGTTTATTTAGTTATCCGCTGATTTACAGACGTCTCTTTCCCCATGTTAGTCAATGGGGAAAAGTCTTTCTGGGCCGGTTTTTTTTGCCGCACACATTGAATAGAAAAAGACTCTGAGCATGCGCAGTGTAGTTTTTACAGCACCCATTCACTTAGACAGTGAGAGAGAGGGGCTTGACCCACGTCGCTCAACACGGCTCAATAGGCACACTGTAGACACTAATTAGAAGAACGCAGACTAAAACAGCAAAGTACAGACGAATCAGATGATTAAACATGATCTTAACATTTATTTTAACATGTATTTTTTTGCATATTTTGGGAATTATTATTTGCATTACTCTCTGCTGACACTAGGTGGGGCTGTGCCCCAGGTGCACCTAATGACGAGTCACCACTGACACACACACACACACCCTCTCATTAACACACACTCTCTCACACACACACACACACACACACACACACACACACACACACACACACACACACACACACACACACACACACACACACACATGTAACAGATGTAAATATGCAGTGGGGTTTATTTAACTTAAAGTGGACCTCTCATGCTATATGTAAATGATATATTGTAGGGCCATACCTATATAAGGTATATTTATACGTCTCTGTTTTCAAAATACCAAACAGATCATGCATTTTAGCCATGCCTCATTTCACTCTATGTGCTGTTTGCTGTCTACGGGTCTGATTCTGCTGACCACGCCCCCCTGCAGGAGAGGGGAGACGTGCTCTGATCAGCTGCTGGGCTGTCAGAAGAGGGGGAGAAAAAGAGATCTCCGTCCTCCGTGTTTTATTATATAGAGTCGTTATTCATTTGTTTTAAAGCTCAATAAATAACAAAGAAGACCTTTGACCGGCACTTTTCTAATTTTGTCCGGAAGATTAAACTTTAACGGACATCTTGACCGGCGAAAGAAACTGAAACTGAAACTCTGCCGCACGGTCCCCTCGTTCCTTGGAAGAGGCGGAGAGGTGGGTGTTTGTCATCTGCTGGTGGACTAACCGGAGAGAGTTACAGTGCTTGCCTCGACGGGGAGGGATTGCATTGAATTAAAGCAGCGGGAGCAAACGCTTGCCTCGGGGAGGGAGAAAGAAAGCCACAGCGGAGAATAAACAGAAGGGTAACCATGGTAACTATGGGCGGGAAGTCTTCTTCGCTGCTTTTGTGGCAGACTACAGCGCCACTTACAGGCCTGGCATATGTACTACAGCGTCTCCAGCGCTTTCGAGGGGCAATGGCCGGCCGTGGCCCAACCCCACATTCCCCTGATAGGTGGAGAGTTGGCCCAATAGCCGTAGTGCCACCGTCCTGACGTCAGGACAGTGTTCAAATCTGGATCAGTTTTGATCAGATCCGTTGCAGCCCCTTTCTTAGAGATTTGGGTATGGAGGAAAATAGAGAGGGTTGTGTTTTCTGACACTTGGTGAGTTCCCTGGAACACCGGGGACACATATTCATGTAGAAAAGACGTACACAAGTGCATTTTGCATGATAGGTCCCCTTTAAGTTTGTATAATCACACAAATTCTGTGTTTTATATTATTTTATTCTGTGTTCTTCATTTTATTGAATGTTAAATACCTGGCAAGGACGGAGATCAGTGGGCGGAGCCTCTGAAGTGTGGCCGCTGTGCTCAGGAGTTTATTGTTGTGAGGACTTTCCCCTCTTCATATTGTGTCCCTCACGTTTCCTCTTCCCTTTTTGTAAACGTTGCACGTGAGAGGAGTCACTGAGGAAACTGATCGTTTTGATCTGTTGTCATTGAACAGAGATCATCTCAACTTTACGCTGGCTCGGGTCTCGTCCATTATCAACACAACGCAGAGACCGCTTAACCACACCGGTTACACATACACACACACACACACACACTCTCATTAACACACTCTCTCTAACACACACACACACACACTCTCATACACACACACACATACACACACACACACACACTCATTAACACACACTCTCTCACACACACATACTCTATCTCTCTCTCTCTGACACACACACTCACACACACACACACACACACACACACACACACACACACACACACACACACACACACACACATATATATAGCCTATATAGACTGTGCATATTATATTTGACATATATATATATATATATATATATATATATATATATATATATATATATATATAAAGTGTAGTGCACTGCAGCGTTCCTCCGCTTCTCACCGCGGTGCCGCCGCCGCCGCCGCCGGGAGTCCGCTGCAGGGCGCTGCTCTCCGGCCTGATCTCCTCCATCAGGACGCGATACCTCCCGGTAACTCCCGGGAATACTGCGGGGATCTCCCGGTAACTCCCGGGAATACTGCGGGTACCTCCCGGTAACTCCCGGGAATACTGCAGAGATCTCCCGGTTATACTACGGTTAAGTCCAGGTTGAAGCTCACAGAGACACACAAAGAAAAAATGAAAACAAGTTTATTAAAATTCATAAATACAGTCCAGGTCCGGTGCTGCTCGCGACGTCATTTCCGTTCTGTAGTTCTTTGTGTTAACGGCAGCAGTGGTGTAGCGGGACTACAGTACCCAGAGTGCACCACGGCACAGGGCAGCATGTAAACAGGAAGTAAACTGAAGGACGAAGAGACCAATGATAGGTGAGAAGTTAATACTTTGTAATATATATACTTTAATACTGAGTCTATCCTTTACTATACTCCAGGGCTGCCAACATTTGAGTTCAGCTTGGAGTGAGATTTATTTTTTGGTGAACCGAAAAAATAAACGTTCATGTACACAGTGTTACAAATGTATTGAACATGTACAAACAGTCGGCACTACAATACAGTCTATGGTACAAACTAGGGTTTCCCATGAATGTACCGGGCGCTCCAGTGGAATACGCACATACACAGTGTACCCGCGACTCTTACAATGAAGGCTCGATCATCAGCTCACAGCATATAACATAGCATATAGGTGTAAGCAGAGGTGAAGTGATATTTTATAAAAAAGATTTTTTTGAAAATATTGAAGTTAAATGCATCAATGTGGTGCATTTTGAGAGCAACATGGAGAGATCTATGGATACCTCTCTCAACACCCATATGAAACAGAACTCTAAACAGATTTTCTTTTTCTTTGTGGATATTTTACAAATCACTCACTCAAACTCTATTCTTGTTTTACTGTCATATAGTATTTCATAACTATTTAGTATTTCATTTTTGTCGCGGCGCAGCTGTAACGTAAGGTCGGGCAGGCAGGAAGTGGAACGGTCAGAGCATATATAGCATATATATATATATATATATATATATATATATATACACACACACAAACTAATTTTGCAGACCCTATCCCTCCGTAGTCTTTCAAGTAGGAGGAGAAATGCCAGCGTTCTCCTCCGGTTTACAGGCACTGTGTAAATTATATATATAGAATAATTATGATGATGAATGCATTTTGTTACCACTAAAATACAGCAACACATCTTTGATTCATGTAGTTTATAACTGGAATATTACAGTTATTATTAACTTTGTCTGTACAAAGTAGCCTGTCCAGGAAATATGCCCAAATCAACAAAAACTGCGAGCCGGCAGGCAAGACGCTCCGCTTCTGAAATGCTTCTGAAACGCGCCTGGTAGGGTATGACGCCGGAGGAGGCCGGACCAAAACCGCAACGCGGCGCAGACGGACCCGGTGGAATCTAGGGGTTACCTCACTGAGCTGTAGTTCTCTCTCTCAGTCTGAGGAGAGAGCTCTCCCTCTCCTTGTTGTACAAACAGCTTCTAATATCCGTTAGCGCAGCTAGCTAACCAGATGCTAACAACAACAATGCAAATAGTGAGTTTGGTAGAAATATACTGTATAATAGTAAAGTTATTTAAGATGATGCCATATTTATTGAAGATTTTACATTATAAATATTCCCCAAAATTATTCAAAAGCATATTTTTCAAAACTCTACACCAGATACAACAGATACAATAGATACAACAGATACAATAGATACAAGAGATACACCAGATACAATAGATACAAGAGATACAATAGATACAATAGATACAATAGATACACCAGATACAATAGATACACCAGATACAATAGATACACCAGATACAATAGATACAATAGATACAATAGATACAATAGATACAATAGATACACCAGATACAATAGATACAATAGATACAATAGATACAATAGATACACCAGATACAATAGATACAATAGATACAATAGATACAATAGATACACCAGATACAATAGATTCAATAGATACAATAGATACAACAGATACAATAGATACAATAGATACAATAGATTCAACAGATACAATAGATTCAATAGATACACCAGATACAATAGATACAATAGATACACCAGATACAATAGATACAATAGATACACCAGATACAATAGATACAATAGATACACCAGATACAATAGATGCAATAGATACAATAGATACACCAGATACAATAGATACACCAGATACAATAGATACAATAGATACAATAGATACAATAGATACACCAGATACAATAGATACAATAGATACAATAGATACAATAGATACAATAGATACACCAGATACAATAGATACAATAGATACACCAGATACAATAGATACACCAGATACACCAGATACAATAGATACAATAGATACAATAGATACAATAGATACACCAGATACAATAGATACAATAGATACAATAGATACAATAGATTCAACAGATACAATAGATTCAATAGATACACCAGATACACCAGATACAATAGATACAATAGATACAATAGATACAATAGATACACCAGATACAATAGATACAATAGATACAATAGATACAATAGATACAATAGATACAATAGATACACCAGATACAATAGATACAATAGATACAATAGATACAATAGATACAATAGATACACCAGATACACCAGATACAATAGATACAATAGATACAATAGATACACCAGATACAATAGATACAATAGATACAATAGATACAATAGATACAATAGATACAATAGATACAATAGATACAATAGATACACCAGATACACCAGATACAATAGATACAATAGATACAATAGATACAATAGATACACCAGATACAATAGATACAATAGATACAATAGATACAATAGATACACTAGATACAATAGATACAATAGATACAATAGATACACCAGATACACCAGATACAATAGATACAATAGATACAACAGATACAATAGATACAATAGATACAATAGATACAATAGATTCAATAGATACAATAGATACAACAGATACAATAGATACAATAGATACAATAGATACAATAGATACACCAGATACAATAGATACAATAGATACACCAGATACAACAGATACAATAGATACAATAGATACAATAGATACAATAGATACACCAGATACAATAGATACAATAGATACAATAGATACAATAGATACAATAGATACACCAGATACACCAGATACAATAGATACAATAGATACAATAGATACACCAGATACAATAGATACACTAGATACAATAGATACAATAGATTCAATAGATACAATAGATACAATAGATACAATAGATACAATAGATTCAATAGATACAATAGATACAATAGATACAATAGATACAATAGATACACCAGATACAACAGATACAATAGATACAATAGATACAATAGATACAATAGATACACCAGATACAACAGATACAATAGATACAATAGATACACCAGATACAACAGATACAATAGATACAATAGATACAATAGATACAATAGATACACCAGATACAATAGATACAATAGATACAACAGATACAACAGATACAATAGATACAATAGATACAATAGATACACCAGATACAATAGATACAATAGATACAATAGATACAATAGATACACCAGATACAACAGATACAATAGATACAATAGATACAATAGATACACCAGATACAATAGATACAATAGATACACCAGATACAATAGATACAATAGATACAATAGATACAATAGATACAATAGATACACCAGATACAATAGATACAATAGATACAATAGATACAATAGATACAATAGATACAATAGATACAACAGATACAATAGATACACCAGATACACCAGATACACCAGATACAATAGATACAATAGATACAATAGATACAATAGATACACCAGATACACCAGATACAATAGATACAACAGATACAATAGATACAATAGATACAATAGATACAATAGATACAATAGATACAATAGATTCAATAGATACAATAGATACAACAGATACAATAGATACAATAGATACAATAGATACAATAGATACACCAGATGCACCAGATACACCAGATACAATAGATTCAATAGATACAATAGATACAACAGATACAATAGATACAATAGATACAATAGATACAATAGATACAATAGATACAACAGATACAATAGATACACCAGATACACCAGATACAATAGATACACCAGATACAATAGATACAATAGATACACCAGATACAATAGATACAATAGATACACCAGATGCACCAGATACACCAGATACAATAGATTCAATAGATACAATAGATACAACAGATACAATAGATACAATAGATACAATAGATACAATAGATACAATAGATACAATAGATACAATAGATACACCAGATACAATAGATACAATAGATACAATAGATACAATAGATACAATAGATTCAATAGATACAATAGATACAATAGATACAATAGATACAATAGATACACCAGATACAATAGATACAATAGATACAATAGATACAATAGATACACCAGATACAATAGATACAATAGATACAATAGATACAATAGATACAATAGATTCAATAGATACAATAGATACAATAGATACAATAGATTCAATAGATACAATAGATACAATAGATACAATAGATACAATAGATACACCAGATACACCAGATACAATAGATACAACAGATACAATAGATACAATAGATACACCAGATACACCAGATACAATAGATACAATAGATACAATAGATACAATAGATACACCAGATACAATAGATACAATAGATACAATAGATACACCAGATACAATAGATACACCAGATCCAATAGATTCAATAGATACAATAGATACAATAGATACAATAGATACAATAGATACACCAGATACAATAGATACAATAGATACAATAGATACAATAGATACAATAGATACACCAGATACAATAGATACAATAGATACAATAGATACAATAGATTCAATAGATACAATAGATACAATAGATACAATAGATACAATAGATACAATAGATACAATAGATACACCAGATCCAATAGATTCAATAGATACAATAGATACAATAGATACAATAGATACAATAGATACAATAGATACACCAGATACAATAGATACAATAGATACAATAGATACACCAGATACAATAGATACAATAGATACACCAGATACAATAGATACAATAGATACAATAGATACAATAGATTCAATAGATACAATAGATACAATAGATACAATAGATACAATAGATACAATAGATACAATAGATACACCAGATACAATAGATACAACAGATACAATAGATACAATAGATACACCAGATACAATAGATACAATAGATACAAT